GGGGGGGGGGGATATTATTTTGATACGTTACACTCGAGATGTCGTGTTGAGTTGTGGCCTTTTTGACAGCAGGATGGGTGGGCTGAGTAGCCGCCAACACACACGCGGTTGGGCATCACCCATCGTGCAGCCGAAAACGATACTTGGCCGGAGCTCTGACCACCATTAGGCCCGTGGAGTATACTTAGCCCATCATGTTATTGGTACAGCCGGTCTTGGAAAAAATTATAATAATATTGACGAGAGCCGGACGTAGTCGAGTCGGGAGCTGCGATTGACAGACGTTGTGTCGGCTCACGACCGTTGGGAAAAAATGAAAAGAGCCGATGGTCGTTGGTGTCCAGCCGCTGGTTGTGGACGTCGTCTTGTGTAAGTGGGGCAGGTCAGTCCTGCATGACTAGGGGTATTGACAATTATGTGGGTACAGGTTGCACTGTCGGTACCGCTAGTGGCACGTCTTCCTCGAACGACGGGGCAATCCGACCGGCAGCTGTTGTGTTGCAACTGAACCTTTGTGTAAAGAGGGGGGGGGAAAGCAGTATGCGGAGACATAACTTTGTAGATTATTGTTAATCAAGCGCGCAACAATTATGACGATAATAATATGGTTTTGACAATAATAATAATAGCAATTTATAATCGCAATAGTAATAATAATTGTTCACGAAAAATCTGTGACGTTACAATATTAACAATGAACACCCAATCTACCCGTCTATTTTTTCCATTAATATCATATGATATTTCTTCTGCATCCGAATTGCACGCCAAAAAAAATGTCTAAATTGCATGCCTCTCGGAGAGGTCTGTCCAAATTGTACGCTGTGAACCACATGTTTATTTATGATAGGATGCACTTCTGCGCACAATTTAAACTTTTTTTTTTACTTTCCTAGTTTAAAATTTCAAATAAAATAATACTTTTCCAAATTTCTAATTTATTTTTTTTATCATTATATTGTAACGTCATTTCTCATTTTCATTTAGGCCTAAATAATTTTAAACTATTCCCCTTTTAATAATAACCGTCTTTCAAAATGCTATTACTATATATTATGAATCAAAAATAGATGTGTCCGGTATAAATATTATTATTATATATTTGCCTTATTGACATATTTTATTACAATGAACTAACGTCTTTATTATTTTATTGTTATTTATTTATATTGTATTATTTGTAATAATTATAAATGTAATATTGTATGCACGAAACGTCGAAAAAAACCACAAAATTTCAAAATGTTATTATTTATTTGAAATACCATGTAAACATGTAAAAATACATTCACACGATTACCTTAAACTACAAGAGTGTTATTTAATATTTATTATTCACTATGCCATCTGCTGCAATATTTATATATTATATGGTAATGTGACAAAATTCTTCAGTAATTCAATGGAAAAGAGAGTTATTTGGTTATTTTACTCGAGCATGCAATTTGGACATACCCCTCCCAGAGACGGCATGCAATTTGGACATTCTAATTTATATTTATTTTTTTGGCATGCAATTTTTATACACCGGATATTTCTTCTCTATATTCGTATTTCATATAATTCTTATATACCTATTTATATAAATCATACAAATAATGTATAGAACTATAATTATTCTATATAAACAAAAACAAACGATAAGTTCCTCATACTTACTACCTAGTACTCGTACACTAGTTTTTAGTTTTATCCTAAACTAAAAACATTATTATTTATTGATGGTTTAAAGTTATATTATGTTTATGTTTTGAGAGGGATTCGCCATCCACTGTTTTTTAAGGAGTTCAATATAAGCAATTTTCTAAGTACGTGCTCGTGTGTAGTGTAAATTTGTGCGTAGTAAGTGATCATTACTCTGTGTGTGAGTGTGTGTGTGACTTTACTAGAAATAGCGGGGCACGTGCACGCACTTGTCAGTATCGTGCTACATGAATATTAATTATTTTGTATTTTCTTATTTAAGACTATCAGTCTTTTACCAATTGCATTAACTATGACCTAGTTATCCGAAAATATTTCGATAAATGAAATAATATTTGTTTGAATTCGTTGTAAAGTTTAATTAAAACCGTATTTTTTTTTTACATTTGATCTTACATTTTTAAATAACTATGAGTTCAATCAACATATATTTATTAACATTTAAAAGTATTTTTAGTATTCAAAATTTAAAAATCTAATTTTGAAGTTGAGTTTAATCTCTTAAAAGTGAAAAAGCCGTTTTAAAGTAAACGTCCTGACGAATTACATCACGTCATCACCTATGTGTTTTCAGACATTTCACCCGACTACTGTCGATACAATTCACATAACATCTAGTTTGGTACCCTTATTTAAACTAAGGGTACACATTGATTAGTATAATCTTAATTGTCCTTACCTAGTGAATAATTTGAAACTATTCACTTTTTATATGTAAAAAAGAACTTGTCCTGACGGACTGTGTAGGTGTCAGGGTGGTTATAGAGGTAATAACTAACGTCTAAATAATCAATAAATCAACACTAATTTTAAGTTAAATGGACTGTATAACATTAAGTCAACATTGATAATTACAGTAACCGTTTCAATAAATATTAAATATAGGTAAGCAAAAAAAAAAACATAATACTTGTCTACTTGACAGCTGATGATGATAAATAATAATGATAAGAAATCCGTAATGAATAATGATAATTTGTTAAAGTGCCTACAATGAAAAACAAGTGGTCTCGATATACGTAGTCACCACAATACAACACTGCACGCAGTACCAGTTGAACACCCTAACTGCGAAAATATAAATTAATATGGGGTAATTCAATGTGGGTGAACCATAGGTACACTTATTAATGGACACGGACAATAATTCGCAGTTTGTCACAAAGACCATAGAACACAAGGTTTACTCTATAGCAGCCTACTATTGTCACGTGCTTTTTAATACTACACCACAGATTGCTACCATAAACCTATACGAAAACACATTGATCACTTGATGCACCACTTTCGGCTGTCGACGAAGAAGAATGAGTCACCCGCCCGTGCTCAAATATAACGATAACGGTCGATTCACACACACACACACACACACACACACACACACACACACACACACACACACACACACACACACACATGAACCTAGAAACGGGGTGACAGGATCCTAAGACTCTAAAAACACGGAAAAACTTTAAACTCACAGATGACACACTACAGAGATGATGACGTCTTGTTCATCACCTCCGACATAATTCAAAGTACAAACACAGTTTTATATAAGTCTTATAATAATATGGAGTACTGACAGTACTGTATGACCAGAGGTGATAACACTCGCTGCTTTAAACTCCGGACACAGATAACAGGACATCCCATAAACACTACATTGACCACAACCGACTGACTGATTGATTCGTCATCACCTAGCCAGAACCGCAGAAGCTATGAGTTGGCAATTTGGCCTAAACTGAGATACACTCAAACTGAGATCCACCACTATGGCTGCATAGGATTAGCTGCAAAATACACTTGGGGGAATTTCGAAAATTAGCTTGCTCAAAGTTAACCAAAATGTTTCGTTTGTACAGAGTCTAGAAAATGCTAATATTAATATTCATCAACTATCTTCGGTTGTTTGTTGTCGATATCAACAAAATAACAAAAACGTCGAAATTAGTGTTTCTTAAATTTCTAATTTTTTATGATTGTTTAGTAAACTGCTTAGAATTTTTTTATTTTCCCGAATTATCTAGTATAGTAGATAATATTGCATAAAATGACACGGTTTATAGAGACATGCCACGTTTAATGACTTAATATATATTTTAACTCCCCAGCATAACTGTTATATTATATTTTATGTGATCATTTGTATCGGTTGTTATGACATTTATATAATGACCAATGACCATACCGGATGTAATGAAGTTTCTTTTTGGTAAATGTAGACAAATATTTTATCTATAACGACCATGCAATACACGGGTCATATTACCGACGGTTTATGACAAGAACAAATTTCAAGACAACTGACAAGGCAAAATATTTAACAACCAGCTATATCATTTGACGGCTATTAATAATAGAAGTTCAAAAACAAACTATTTAAAAAGTTCATACAAAAATATCAGGTTTTTATTCAGTAGGTATTAAAAAATAATAATAAGCACTTTAGTTTTAATACTATACATTCTTAAGATTATCATTTTGTGATAATATTATCAAAATATAATACATCGCGTGAACTGTTTTGTAATAACTCATTTAAATTTCGGTTGTTATGACTATCGATTATAATTATTATAATATATCTTTTTTTTGTTTCTCTTAACGTCATTAATTGAATATAAACAATTTTTACTTTGGATCCAATTTCCTATCATAAACCACTCTCGAAGTTGAAGATCGAATCCATTTTTCCCCACTATAAAAACACTTTCTATATTTTGTTAAGACACTTTTCAACCCAAAAAAATACATAAAAAACACACATGCGTGATTGTAAAACCAATTCACATTAAAATTTGTTTATAATACATAACATGATCATTCCATTCCATTCATACACAGTCTAAAATGTTTGTATGAAAAATTGTTTCTTTGATTTGTTTGGTCTAATATGGCTTCAATTGTATTTTTTCGTATAGGCACTCAGGTATTAATTTAATAAAGTAGACAAGTGAGAACGGGTGGAAAAAAATGCAGGTTTCTTCATTCTTAGATGATTTAAACGCTTGACTCGTGGCAGTAATTACTTGGTTATCTCTATCTAAATACAACAATAGGAAGGTACTTAGTACTTATAGTAGGTACCTAAATAAATATTATACGTATTATAATATTATTTATACTCTGGTTTTATTGTTATTTTTAAAAATCAACAAAATAAGTATCAAGAAACACTATGCATTTTTGTTCATTTTATAAAATTTTAATTGTTGTGTAACCAATATTTTCCGAGAATGTAAGAGTATTGAATTTAATTTTTAAAACAGTTTTAATGCTTTTCAAGCAATATGGATGAAACTAAGCCTAATATTTTAATGCAAGATTGGGAGGATGAGTATTTAATTGAAACTGCTATCGAATCACCTCGAGTTTGGGTCACGTTAAACGACGAAATTGAAATACAAGAACTAAAATCTGATAGATTTGATGAAGTGCTTAAAATTATCAAGGTAAAACATAATACTAAGTTGAATTTAGATGGTCGAAAGCTGATGTGTATAAAACTATGTATTTTTTATGGAGGTACAGAGTACCTATTAAATCTCACTACGTAGTTAAATATTATAGTTTTTTACATTTCTATGTATTACTTGTTATACTTGTTGTAACAATTCGTATACCTGATTCACACGATCTGGCATAAGTTATTTCTTATACTATATTTTTCAATTAGGAATTTTGCACTAATAAGGAACGTTTTTTACTGAAACTCTTCTTATAATTTAATTGTAAATTAATAACACAAGCACTTTGACATCGTTATGTGTTTATTACATTGGTGATGAAAGTGGAATGACAATTTAATCATGGAGACATGGAGTGAAATTCCAATGATTTTGTCGAATTTTATTTGAATTTCAAACGTTTATAAATATCATAACGTTTATAAGACTATGAGTTATTTAATGATTATTCTATTACATTTTAAATCTTAGGTCCAAAAATTATAAACTAAATTGATTTTTAACTACAAAATAGTTTGAAAAAATTTTTTCGATCTTGAAAATTTCGTAAAATGCTTTAAAAATTGATTACTATGTATTTCGGACATTTTGTTATTGCTGTGAGAAAAACTTGTAAAGAAACTTTTATTCAATTTAAAATTGTTTTTTTTTAAATAAAATTTATATTTTGTGATGACGACAAGTCTCTGTATAGATTTTTTCTGAATTATAATTTATAAATAACGATTATTAAAATCGACGTTGTGGAAATCTGGTTATAACTATTCCTGTACTATCGCAGATTTTTTCAACTTTTCCCAATCACTATGAAAAGTATTGGGATTTTCTACTTTTTAACCCGCACAGTAGTACCTAACTAGATTACGTTTTCTACCTGGAATCACCCTTTATATATATTGAATATTGAATTAATCTGCTCGAAAGGGTGATGACACAAAAAAAAACACTTCGTTGTAAAAAACCAATATACATTTCTCACTCTAGTGCGAATCCAAAACACAACTGCATTTCCTCGGTCAGCTGTTAAACTGCAATAATTGGTACCTACTTAATAAGAGTTATAGTGTTGTATGATATTTATGATTTTCTAAAAACGAATAGGAACATTACATCTATGATGAACCGTTAATTCAAAGTAGTCAAATGTATACGGACAATGGATCTGTTGAAGAATACTTGTACTTGGTTCAAACTTGGATGAAAGACACACTTTCAACTGTTGCTGTGGAGCTGAAAACTGGAAATTTAGTAGGATTTCTTGTATGCCGATTCAACGAAATACATAATAGAGATCCTGAATTCAGCAAAGATAGGGTAACAACTTTTTTTCAACTATCTACCAACACATGTGAGCGCATTAGATAGCCAAGGACTAATTAATTATGAGTTTTCATTAATTTGGCAAACATATCGGCACGTTTACTCGAATACCTACAGTAGTAGGTATCAAAACTTCAAACGAATAATATATTTGTATAAATATAAATAGAATTTTGTAACGTACATTGTCCAATTATTACAAGTGCATACGTCAGATCGAAACTAGACAAAGTTCTACAGGATTGTTTCTCAATGAATATAAATAATGTATACATTTCTATATTTTTCAAAAAATCTGCCCACATTAATTATTAAAATAAAACTTCAATTTTTTTCTCATGATTTATCATTCCTTCAAAATATGTATTATTTATTATAGGCAAATTGTTAAAAAAAAAATATTAATAAGACTAATAATAATTCAACCGTAAGCATTTCACCAGACCCATTTTCAATTTGAAAATTATTATACACATTTATTTAATCAACAGGTATATGAAGGTTCGATATTGAGGGAGCTGAAAAAGTTCAAACACTATTTAACAAAAAGGGGTAATGCATATAAACACAATAACGTGGACAAAATGTTAGAAGTGTATTCGTGGTTTGTGCTTCCCCAATACAGGAATAAAGGTTTGTATCTATTATCCGACTTGTTACAGGTAATATGAATGTGAATAAGTTGATTAATTTTAATTTACAAGTTAATATTTTTTAAATGGTTCAAAATATGTTCTCATACCTACAGTTGTTATCGTTTTGTTGTATTTACTAGTTTTTAATTATCTATAGTGACTTTCACTTAATATTGTGGTATACGAGTAATAATGCGTATCATAGTATTTACTTTCAAATCTGTTTTGAGATAAATGTTTTATAAATGTAAGCATTCATAAATGTTATACCATTATATTATGTTAGGTATAATCACATATATTTTTACGTTATTAGGTATTCGACATTTTTTACAGCATGTATATTATTTTTTATACATCTTGTAGATAGTATATTGGTACATCTACAAAATAATACGTCGTCGAATGGGTAACAGGACCGACAAACGCTAGATCATTTTACTGTCAAGTAAGGGTGGACATTTGCCCCTGTTTGATTTTTAAAGCAGCCCTATGGGTAATTGCCGATTGTTTCTGTTCAGCCAATATTATATTATATTTTATTTTATTAGAACTATAACTACCCAGGTAAAATGTAAGGGCCAATGTTATATTTCAGTGTAGCAATGTCATTATCGACAGATGATATCAGTTCCAACGAATTTTCGAAAGATTTTAAATTGTTTTCAACCGATGACTAAATCTTATTAGCTACCTATTATTAGAGAACTACTTTCAATAAACATTTCGTATTTTTTCTGGTTAATTTAATCGTATGCTTAGTAAATACACATTAGTAGGTAAAATACATTTTTTACATTTTTGGATTTAAAGGACATATTTTAGATTATCAAAGCATATTTGAGTCTTTATTACTTATTTTGATCTATATTTGATGATATTTCAGTGCATAAAAGTTCTTGTTCTAGTTATTACTTATTACCATCAAACAGTGCATACAACCACACTACCAGATTAACATATTACCTCAAAATTAGATAAAATATTATAAATTACAATCTTAAATATTTACAAATTTACATAACTGTGACACTATCGGTACCTAGTTGATGAATTCACCAAGGCCAAGCTGAAGACTAACTGTATATATAGATAAAGGTATATATAAATTTTGCCTATCATTTTTTTTCCGCAAATGGTTAATTTAGTTCGATATAAATTATTTATAACAAAGGTTTCTGTACTCACACTTACTGATTAAAACCAATGTATAAATTAAGTATGATAACTTCCCCGGTACGGCTGGTCTAGAGGGTGAAACTAAAAATTATGAGGTGAAACTCGGCGAGCTGACGGGATGACTTAAGCAAAGTCAAAATTCGTCGATGCTCCACATCGGAGACCTGTGTGGAATGACGAATTTCCGGAATTAGTAATGATTTTATATAATATATATTTTACAAGTATTCAAATACAGTCGCAGGTATTTATTTTGAAATGTATTTAATGGGTATACGTATTTGAATTTTGAGTACTCAGTTGTAAAAAATACATATTTTTAGATTTCTAGTATCAAAATAAATGCCTACTGTTATAATCTGACCACAGATTAAATTAAACCAGATGGTGCACTTCTTATTCAAGTCATGCTATCCTCAAAAATGTAAACAACCAAAATGTACCTCAAATCAGTATCACCGCTAGGTAATAGAGAAAAACAATTGTTGTGAGAAATGATTGATTATTAACCTCGTGTCACTGATACTTATCAATCGTGCCAAATTCCTTACCGTTGTCCTAATACTATTTGATTCAATAAGTGTAGTAAATATATTATACAATAATTTATTTCTCATAAATTATCCTACCGCATTGAGATAGGTTTGAGTAATCAGAAATGTCAGCAGTGCATAATTTGGCTTTATATAATAATCTGTGATCTGAGTTGGCTCATTTGACCATACCCGTGATCGGTTATCCGTTACCTATAATAAATTATCGTAGGTTAGATATCGCAAAAGTGCTTAATGGTTTTATACTTTGATACTGTATATTACTTACGTTTTATGGTAAGTATATTAAATTATATAGGTACTAAGTACTCGTAAAATTAACTGTGTAAAATGGAATAAAGTTACCATTAAAGATAAAGATGATGAACTTATATGTTCAGAATGTAAAGTTGGAGGACGTTACAAAAAGGTTAGTGTGAGTAATGTCCAAGAATACGAAAAACAAATAGTAATGTAGGGAGTGAAAAAACGAGTGGAATAGCAAAATACAACAACTGGTGAATAACAAAAAGTTTACATAGAAGCTTTGGCGGAATCTGGTACGATATATATGCGATCAATTTGATCAATTTAATACCACGATAAGAGTAGTTTAAATGAGATATAACAACTTAGATGACAGAATACCCCAGTACATGTTAAACTTGAAAATAATAACTAACTAACAACAGAGGTATACAGTTATTAAAAACAAAAATTGATGACTCGGCAAAGTAATTTAATAAAGCCGTTTAAATAGTTGGCATTGACCAACAAGTCCAAGTACAGATTGTAAATCTAAGAAAATATCGACCTAAGCGAAGTTTAGAATTTAATGTAGAAAACGCATATAGATTATCAATATCACATAAAAATAAAATGAAAATAACTGCTTGGTGGTCCGATGAAAATGAAAGAAACGAGTTTATATCAGATTATCAACACACAAAAAAGACATAACAATTGCTTAACGAATTTGCGATGAATGGCCAAAAATAATGGATTATTGTTATCGAAAAAGTCAGTACAGATAATTTAACTAAATAACTTAAATTGAATGCCGCAAATAGACTATTTCGGTAACACGAATACCGTAGAAATATTCTTGTATTGACCAAAATATGTTTCCTTCAGTCTAATATTACAGATTACAACTGGGTGTTATTTATATAGATCCAGACAATAATGAAAATACACAAAAAAAAACGACAACGTATAAATCAATTTATTAAGATATTAAATTTGTATTTATCTATCCGTGGGTTATAAAAAAAAAAGGAAAAAACTCCATAGATGACGATTGATTTCTTGAATTCTTGAATTCTATTAGAACAAGAGATAAGATAGGTGTAAACTGACACTTAAATACCAAATTATATACGATTGGCGATTGAGTAAATACTTAAAAAATATAAGAATAAAATACATAGGAAATGATTATTTTAATAAAAATTTAAAGGCATCCAAAGGATAGGAAACTTGTAATATTATCAGGGAGATGGACACCTAATAGCAATGGCAACCAAAATCTGAATACTAACACCCAGGAATTATACATAATAATGATATACAATTGATACAAACAATAAAACTTATAATATTAGCATCATGTTAATATATTTAACAGTTATTTTGTAAATGTAGATAAAAAAATATGGCTAAACACATACAAGAAGATATAATATCGGATACGGAACTAGGTAGTTTATTATTATTCAAGTACGATGATAACTACGATATTAGACATAAATATGTTTCTCTGAAAAAGAGTTGATAGCCATAGTAAAATAAATTAAGAGAGGATCCATCAACAAGATATGGTGATATTCCAACCAAACGCATTATTACGAATTTCGGATTAGGTACATTTTAAAACCAATCATACATTTAGCGAACGTGAGTTTAAAAAAGTATATTTCCACAAATAATTACACAAACAAAAGATCATTATTATTCCAACGGCCAAAAGGAAACGTCGAATTGCTATTTCATTTGCTAAAATAATAGAAAATTCAATCACAAACATGTATTATCTAAAAATTGTATAAAACTTAACGTATTAAACTCCATAAATGGAAGTCAATTTAAATTTAAAGAACACAATATTGATAGACAAAAATCAAAATGTAATATCTTATTTTGCTAACTTGGTGTACAATTATCTGGATAAAGAGGAAAATATTATGTTTAGGAATATTTTTTTAACATTGCAGAAGCATTCGACTCGGTATGAGATGAAAAATTATTGGATGAATTAAAAAAAATAATGTTTGCGAATATTTTCTGGCTCTGTTTATAGTTTATATATATGTATAGGGCCATGGATTACAAGCATTAAGAACAAATTAAAATATTAGTGATTTTCAAGCAATGAGATAATACTAGTATTACATAGTATAAGGTTCCACTTTGGGCTATTCTTTTTTCAATATTCGTAAATGATTAATATATTATTATTATTATTATTTATTTATTTACTAAATTATTTTTGATATTTAATAACTTATGTGAGGTGGAGACGAAAGCAAATTTAGGATTAGTAATAATAAATAGATGGAATTAAAAAAATAGCTTGTCACTAAATATACGTAGGCAATAATCAATCCGTGTTTGTTCTATTTTCCTTATCTAATATAAATTTTTCAAAGGAAACTATTATTGTTTTATTATTGTAGACTGGTGTAATAAAAATGTCATGAAAATGGCACAGGGTACAATCCACTAAGTATTTAAGAATTATATTCGACGAACGTCTGAAATGGGTACCACATATTGAAAATATAATAGTATACATACCAGAAAATTCTTTTGTACATTCAAAGAACAATTACGAAATGTTTTAGACAAAAATACCATAAGAATAATACGTCTGACTAGAGTACAATCTATATTGTCATAATATATTCTGCTTATGTGGTGGTCAGCTTACAAAAATGCCTCGGAACAACGTAATGTAATACTGAGAATTCTAATTAGAATAATGCTAAAATATTATTATGAAAATAATTATTGCACAGATGACTTATTCAAAATGATTACAATTTTAAGTCTCGAAACGTTGATTTTAATGATATGTAAAAACACACAATATATCAAATAATAAAATAACTATGTATGTAAAATTAATAATAAGATATTAAGTATTCTGTTATGTTATATAATATACAAATATACAAATTTAGTTGGTAAAAATTGATTAATACCTACAAGACAAATACAAATTATACTGTGCAAAATTATAAATATCATATAATATTATTAAAACAAGTAACTATTAGGTACCTAGTTGAAGTTATTTAAACGACACGATTTTTATGTTCTATCAATTCTCGATCAGTGTACCTATTAATCAGCTTTTACTATAACTAATGATATTTTTTTTTCTTTAAACTAAAACTTATTGTTCATTTGTTTTAATAATATTATGTACCTATTTTTAATTTTGCACAGTATAATTTGTATTTGTCTCCTGTGTGAATCAGCTTTTACTTACTTATTGTGTTTGGTAAAATCCCGAATGAAATTATGATTCTTGGCTTTCACTGAGTACGAACAGTAAATCCTAGCATTAACTAGTAAAACCTAGCTCTACCTAGTCACCGGCCATTTACGGCAGTATGATAAATTATGTGCGTGTAATAATTATAATAATAAGGTACATTTTAATTGATTGCAATAAAAAAAGTTTAAAAAACTTAACCAAATTTTTTAGGGTTTTCGTGCTTTACATTAATAGCACTTGTCATTAATTGAATACCGTATCATTTGAAGTGACTGTAAATAACTCATCTGTTTTCTATGTCTAGGTATTTTGATTTTCATTTGCGTAATCATCACATGACAACAAATATATTATTATAAGAACCCTTACGACTTTTATAATAAATTATTATGTTCTCAACGGGTAGATGTGTTTATATCGCGTTTAACGTGATTAAATAGAAAATAAAAATTTAAAAAAAATGATACTTTTAAGTGTTGAACACACGACTGTCTTTGAGCACTATTTATATAATATTATTTGAATACTATTTTACTCAAATAAACCTTTACTCGAGAGTAGGTACGTTGCGACGATGCCACAATGCGAAGTGGTCTCTAAAAACCAACCCCGTCTAATAAATTCTGTTCGCTCTTCTTCTTCCGGTACAGGAATCGGCACGGAGTTGCTGAGAAACGTCATGGAGAGACAACTACCCGAGTACGAATGGTTCGACATCCAAGTGATCGGCGGCGTGTTCACCGACATGGTGAGCCAGCGAATCGCCGAGTCGTTGGGAATGGTGACATTGTATGAGTTCGTATACTCGGCGTGGACGGCCACCAACGAGAAGACCGGCGAACAAGAAGAATTCTTCAAGAAAATCGTTCGGGAAAATCACTCGGCCAAAGTGATGTCTGTCAAAGTGGGCCAGTCGTCGTCGGTTCCCAGCGGTCGTCAGTCGGGCGCGATCGACGAACACGACAATATTGTTTAGTAGACATTTTCACCAACCGATCGGATGATAATAATTATTATTGTGATATTGTATTTGGTTTGAATCGCATATTATTTTTTATGCACAATATTTTTGATTTACAAACTCTAATTTTAAGGCGTGCGTGCGAATTATAACACGTTTATTGCGGGGCACAGTGCGCCAGAATATTATAACAATAATCGGTCAAAACCCAAAATAAAACTTATCATCAGTAATTGATTTCTCTATACAGTGGAACCTAGCTATCTCGAAGTTTCTGTAGGTCGAATTTTTTTTCGGTCACGATCATTCTGTATTTGACTTGCGTGTGAAGTTATTTCGGTGCACCGAATTTCCGTAAGTCACATTTTTCTATAAGTCGAAGTCATTATCCGGTACCCGCCGCCCATTACGATTTACAAACTCCACAGATTAGATAAAGTAAAAACTTCGAAAATACGTCCAACAACAGTCAGGAGTTAATGACAACATTTATTTCTATAGAAAATTGTATACACTTAATATTTTGGGTAGTTTTATTGAAAATACTTCTAATACTAAACAAAAATGACAGATTTTCTACTTTCGTGGAAAATAATGTGCTAATGTGCACTTTCCCAAATTACGAATACTAATAATATGTATACAATACATAAATACATTCTATATTTACACATTTTTCCCAATAATCAAACATTTTTATTTCAACTTTTATACATGTCTTAAATTCCCTCGGTAACTTGAAGTTCCGATGTGACAATTTTTTTTTTTTTTGTCCCTCGTGACTTCTAGATGCCAAGGTTTCATTGTATTATTCAATTATATCAATCTAACTATAGATTAAAAATAAGTACCCATTACACTAATTATTGTTCCCGACATCGTCTTCGATATTTATGATTATCATAGTATATTTTCTACTCATTTGAGTATTTGACACTATACAGTTTGCTGTCTGTTATATTTGTTACCTACGTATTCGGCTGTTAAAAATTTAATTCAAACACAATTATTTTTAATTATTTTTTCATTGATTCGTCGGAAGTCGACAAGTACATTTTATTATTTAAAAAATGTAGTGACATTTTTTAATCTTACATTTTAGCTAGGTATTTAAATCGACATTATTGAATTGCATAATAGTATATACCTTTGAGATACAGTATATTTTTTTAGTCTGAGCTCCTAGTGTTTTTAAAATTAATTGAAATTATTTCAAATTTAGTAATTGAAAAATCGGTAAAAATCATTTTGCTTGTCGTTGACTGTTTATCAATGAAACATTTTTAAGGTTGTAGTATACGTTTTGCTTGTACATCTGAACTATGGAAACTCGTCGCGATCTTTTTTAATTCGTACAAACAATTGAAGGTGACAAGAGTTCGAAAATTCAATATGAGCGAAAGAACTTAAATAAGGTGTTAGGATGAGTAAAATATTCTAATAAAATCTTGGATTCTATCAACCAATTCATAGGTACCTATACCAGTTAACAGCATACGTGTTAGCAGCGACATTTTTCAACGATGGAAAAAAATGAATAGGACCAAAGCAACAGTATAATATTAAATAAAAACCACTTTTAATTCCAATTCGTGTATCAAACTAAAACACACTACTAAAATCAAATGTTTTAATTGAATACCGTGGTTTTGGCCACAAAAGTATAATATTATTGTTATCTGGCCCACTGTGCGGAGCACACTTAATATATTACGTGGGTACGATACTTCGGTGGTCACTGCGTTAATTCATCCGGATGACGTATCAGAAAAAATAAAAGATGTTCGTGGTACATAATATTATATTATATAATATACGATGTACATCTGCAGGCGTAATAACACAGAGATCGGCGGTTGGTCTGCGAATCGCCTGGCATCGCTCATTTCGACACGTTTTATTATTGTACACATATAAACATTTGAAAGCAATGATAAATCATCGGATTTGAAAAATGATTATGAGCGCCGCAGCTAACAATTCTTAACTAATCGTATGGCGTAGTTGCTTACGTATTTTTCACGGTTCCGTGGGTTTCGAAGTTTTTCTCGGGACCGCTGAATAAATCGTAAAACGCTGTGCTCTCAAAGTTTAAAAGTATAGAGGTACCTACCCCGTGGTCTAAATATATATAAGACTGTCGTTTTATATAAAGTTTTGGAGCTTTTGTGCTGCGTGGAAAAAGTGTCCACAAAAAAAAACACCTACCTTATAAAAAAAAAAAAAAAAAATATATAAAACATCGCCGCTGGAAAACCAACACATTCTTTGTCGATTCGCTCGAAATTGAATCAAAAAATAAAAAAAAAATAGTAATAAAACAGGCCAGAAACGGTTCATTGGAGCTTCGACGCGGTGCACTGAGCTGTGTGCTGCCGTGCAGGCATTTCGAAGGTAGATAACTTTTTTTGTCGTTGTCGATTTCTTACGAGGTGTTAGTTATTATAATAATAATAATAATACGAAAAGGCGCATCGCATCAACCGAGACCGAAATGTCAATGCGAATATTATTATAATAATAATAGTTTGATACAACAGAATAATTGAAGAGGAACTCCCTCGGTGTACAACAGACGATCGAACAGTCAAACACGTAATGACAGAATGCTAAAATTTATGTATCGGTGACCTCAGAAACACTGAAAACTTCAAGCGTATGTACGTCAGAATGATTTACGTGGATACTATAACTAGTATAACTATAAATTTGCAAATTAGACATCATACTTAATGACTCCAATTTCGATCCAACGAATCCAAATGTATTGACATTTATAGAAAAAAAAACTAAAAAATTGTAAATTTCAAATGTATATACATAACTTTTATAGAGTTGAAATATTTTGAACATTTTATCATGTATATAAGATAATAAAATAAACACTTGATAAAAATGTCAACTATCTACAGTTAACAGTTTTTAATTAACAACAAAATAAGAAAATCTTTGTGTGATGGATATTTGTTAATTACGGGTAAATATCCAATGTCAAACTTGAAACGACCGTAAAAAATTAATTTGACTTCCTGGTAAACTTTCTTTCTCGTTAAATGTAGTAAAACTTAAGCAGGATCTTGTATTACATTTTCAAAGTTTAGATGTAAATGAAGACATTTTTATGAATTTCTTACTCGTAATAATTTGAAAATTATGACGGAACAATTAATATTTGATCTGCAATAATGAAAAAAAAAAACAAATAAAACTCAAAATAGTATGGTGCATAGAAATGTCTAGTATAAACAGCTAATGAAACTGTCAAGTACCTATTGTAATTTTTTTAGAGTTACACCAAAAACCAAAATCGATTTTGTCAAAAATACTGGAGTCAAAAATCGAAGTAGAATTTCAACTAGGTACTTATAAAGCAATGAGACACAGAAAAAAAATGTTTAAATCATTGTAAAATCAATACATATTTTATTGCTCCGCAGTTGTTTTTACAATTAAACCACGAGGGCAATATAGCTAATATTAAGTTACTAACCTGGACTTAGGCCTACCCAATATTTTCGGGCTAGATCCGTCCCTGTCAGTTGGTGATTAATCCGAGCCACAAGGACAACTATGACAGAGAAACTACGCACATAACAACGCGAAAAATTGTCCATTGAATTTTTAAATAAATAATTGTATTATTGGTTGGAAGCTTGGAGACGAAAACAAATAATACGTATATATTTTGAATTGATGGTAAGCAATATACTCAGCAACAATTGTACTCGTTTCCCAGAATAAATGTAAGTATATAAAAGAAAATAAGATAGTCTCTTATAATTTAATAAATAATTATATATATATTATATTATACAAAAAAAAAACCCATTTCAACTTGCAAAGGACATAATCTTATTGAAAAAACTATAATTCACTAGTAGGTATATTAGGCACTTTAACAGGAGTGCTGTTCCATCCGAAATCAAACGGACTTGCCGAATCAAGGGTTAAGCAGTCATAGTCATACAATTTTTCAAACAATTTTCGACACTCAAATACATCTTAGCTGATAAACAAAAACACTGCACATTGAACTTTACCAACAATACGCAAGCCAGACGTACGTTTAGTGAACTACTCAACACTCGCCATTTTTCATTCATTAGTTTCAAATAGAAACGAAGCAGTTATGAATAATGAAAACACTAGCCCAAAAACGATAAGGTGGTAGATTATTGAAATATAGATGAAAATTAGCAAAAAGGAAAATATTACGGGAAACGTACTATAGTAGAAATACACAAAAAAGGTAATGAGTAATATCACAGTAAGAACGACTGTGAAATACGTGAATGGACCACGAAAAATATATATGGTCACATGTACTTAAACCTTGTCAAACAGATTGTCTCCTGCAACCGATATAAGAAATGTACCCCTTAACGACTCCACCTCGGCTCGCCGAACACGTCCTAACGCAACGATGAACACACAAACATAATATTCTGAATAGATCAATATTATACGGGTACTTTAAAACGCATAACAGCCAGCAGTGAGTACTCAATTTCATTATTCATCGAGTAATTGACTGAATTAAAATAAGTTGATCGCATTTATATCTATTTTTTCAGTCGGAAAATATTTAAGTTATGGTTTTGCAGTCATAGTTTTCAATCGTGCATACATGTTTGTACGACACTTAAGCCGCGCGGATAAAATAATTTATAGGCATAATGACAAGCTCATACTTAGCATAATATGCAATGCAATACGTGGCTATGTAGGCGATGCGCGCTATTAGTTTGGCTTGATTAGGAATCTTGGCGTTCACCACGTAGGCGGCGGGTGCGTAAACAATAATTATTGTTGTCGAGCAGCTACTCGAAATCCTGCCGTTGCCTCGGATGTAATATACGCACAGTGTGATGAAGTGTTTCCAACGACTATCCCGCCGAGTTCCGAGGTCACATTCATTTATTTGATCAATAATAATTGTAAAAAAAAAAATTTTAATCGTAATAAATATCAACGCATGACATTTGGCGAGGAACACGTCAATATTGCAATTAGAGCTATACGTTTTCGTGGCATTTTGTAAAAATTTATATTTTTTAAGTTACAGACAATTTTTCAACTATAAACACAAAACACTTACCGACAATATAGCGATATATCGTCGCCATCGTTATTATATCATGATGATCACAGTTTGTGTTATTATTACTAAGTACGTAACATTGTTACGAATATTTAATACCATAATTACAAAAGTTGAAAGCCATCTACCTCTTTTAATTTACGTAACCGCTTAAAAAACCTACCTAACTAACTTTGAGAAAAAAATTCAAATCTTCTGTTGTTGAAATTCCCATACGAAAACTTTCAAACTTACAGCTTTGATCGCGATCGTATAGTGTGTACCGTATAATATGTTTCGTGCAATAATAATTGTTAAGGTTTTGAAATCGCTCGAAACACGACTATTATATTATACGACAGTTAATTCTGCAGGGTGGATGACATCATATCGAAACAATTAACGCGTTTGAAAACCGTTCTGACTTCTCAAGATAATATTACATCGATTACACGTGATTTATTAAAACACTACTAATAATCCTGCAGCTTAATATATTTACTCAACGATTAATAATGTCGGACAGTTGAACTTTCTAAGATCCTCATCTCGTAAAGGTGGACATTTAACATTGACTTTTGATTCAAAAAGTAGTACCTATACTGGAAGAACACATTCACAATTTCAGTGCAACCGAGGGTAATGTGATTTTATAGTTTTCTGAAACGGAAATCAATTTTATCCATTAGGAGGTACATGAAACGTAGGTACATAAAACGTACATGAAATTAAACATGTATTGTACACAATTACACTGCGAGCAGCATTTGGAAATGTCCTCATACGGGAAATAGGATATTGTCGAAATGGCCAGTATATAAAGAACCTTGTCGTGTTTTCGTTGTCTGGGATAGGTGTACCTACATATAGAATTTAACCATTTAGGTAAGTACATACATTTGGCGAAACTTAAACGTTCACTGAGCGTGCATATGCAGGTTATCAAAGAATAAGCTTGTGCAAAACAGTATGGGTTTAAATTTTACAATTAAATACATTTGAAATCACTTATTTGATAACCAAATTAATTATTGTAAAACCAATAGGTGTACTCGAAAACCAACACCACCCCTTAAAGACGTAATTATAACAATGAATATTTTTACCAAATTATTTTTTTTTTAACTTAAATATTGTAAAGTGTACCATCAATAATAATAATATAATTTGCCAATTTTTGACAGCAATTGAAATATAATTATTGAAGTCATCGTAAAAAAATTTTAGATTATAATTATTGAGTTAAAACTCAGAAGTATTGGAGAACCAATGAGAAGTGCAACTAATAATTTTACCTATATCATATATTTTGAAATTCGCTGTGACGCCTAGAGTAAAGTTTTTAGCAACTTTATGTTATTTAAAAAAATTACTTTAAGTTATAATTGGAGTAGTATTGTAAGCCAGCCGTATAAAGTAGTAAAAAATAAGTAATATAGGTATTTAGTGTAATATTTCATCAAGTAGCTTAACAAGTTAGCCTATCTGCTACTTCAATGAAAACTTTTTTTTCGATAACTGATCATATTTCTTTGAAGAATAATTAAGAAAATGTATTTTAATTTTAAATTACCAGCTTATATCCGAAACTTATTTTATTTGTTGTTGAGTAATTTTTTTTTAAGTTTTATCTTTATAATTTTTTCAAGTGTTATTATAATAACCATACCATAATACTATAATCATAGATATTTTTCAGTACACAAAAAATTTTAAGTAACATGCTTATCTCGAATAACTTTTTTTCATATTTGAGATTAATTTTAATCTACCTATTTCCCTATCAATAAATTTGAATACATTCAAGAGGTGTTAAGTTATTAAAATAGATAGTATTTTATATATAATGGACTGCCTGCACTTTACTACTTTAATTTGTTCCCTGTCGTGTAAAAGTCGTTGTTTCATAAGCAAAGATCATTAACCCAGCGAAAATAATAATTGTTTAAAAAAAAAATTTATATTCAATTTCATAAGAGAATTTTTGAAAAATGAAGCTCGCACAATTAAAGTGTCATTTACAACTGGTAAGTATAATCAAATTGCACAATAAAACCACACAAGTTTTATTATTTCGATGCTAACATTTTAATTTTTTTTTTTCACATTTAGCTATTTTGTTCAGTTTCAATAAGTTTTGCTGAGATTTTAATTGGTGGTTCATATGTATACTCGTCTACACTTTTAACACAACTTCGCGAACCTTCGTCAAATATAAAATTAAATATTGAACAAGAATCTTGGATTAGTATGTACCTTGACCTACCTACCTAAATTTTTATGCAATGATAACGAAGTTTAAAATAGTTGTGTACAAAGATAAATTTAAAAAGTATTAGAGTAAATATTCGATATTTTTTTATTTTTTAAGCACCAGTTCAGTAAAATGTGTGTTAATCACACAAATTTGTTTTTTTTTTCAAAACGATTTTTCTTTCATTAAGATGAGTTATTTTTTTTATTCATTAACCCTCCTCCCAAGACACCTTAAAAAATACTTTCAATTTTCTTGGGAACGGAGTATTTTCTTTTTTGTAAACAAAATTAAATTTTATAAAGTGTACCAATAGGCAATGCTTGAATACTTGTATCAAATACTTATCCAACACTGAAAACTAATAGAACCTAACCTTAAAATATTTAAGTTAGCCTACTATTGGAAAAACAGTTTTCTACGGCAGTTATTTTTTTGGATTACAGAAAACATTTTTTATGGTACATTTAATTATAATCATTAGATGGCAAGAATAATTTTCACAATAATAATATAATTTCCTTGATCCTTGCACAAAACCGTAAATTACTGTCTACCAAGTTTGTCTTAATATATAAATACGATAGTACTTATAATTTAAAACATAGTAGTCTTCTAATATAATTCTAACTTTAATATTGATACTTAAGTGAGAAATGACCATGATCACAGAAATTGGAAATAACATATTTATAGACTAATCTGTGCTCAAGTGTACAGTCACTTATAATAATCTACCGTTCTAAGCCACTTTAAGAAATAATACTCCAATTTTGTCATAATTAAGGTTAGGTTTAGTGTTTGTAAAAAATAAACTTATTTTTATTTTTATTTTATAATGAAAAAAAAGTAAGTCCTAATCTTAAGGCGTTAAAATTACATTTAAAAAATGGAAAACAAGGTAAGTACAATAATGTCTGACAAACAGTTGAAAATAAGCAATAAAACCAATAATTCAGATAGAAAAATACGGTAAGTAACACGATATTGTAGGTAGTTCTTTTTGTACTATTCCATACTACGAGTTACAGCCTAAGCAGTATTCCAATAAAATCTATAAATCGATATATACAAAACTTGTAAGGAATTAAATGATTCATTTTTCTATAGATATTTGATATAAATAAGATTATGAACAACAATTATTTGATAGTATTAATAGTTTGATGAACAATTCTATTACCAATCATCACTGAACCAGGTAAACAATTGTAAAATCCCTCCAAATAAAATATCTCATTATTATGCACGTTTAATTTATAGACTTATAACTCGTAATACGTTTTACATATCATTTAATATAACATTAAATTAATTAGTATTCATTAACATTTTTCGCGGCCCTGCGTCTAAATTTGTTTAAAATTAAAAGGAACAGAGCTCAACAATTGGTAATGCAGGCAATAACTCGAGGCTAGGTCAACTAAAACGGTAAGTTTAAAATTGAAGACATGAGAATTATTATTTATTAGTACCTACATATTAAGTATTTGAGAATTTTGTCTAGATATATCATAAAACATTATTGTAGAAGTATGTAAAACATTTTAACTATCTAAGACATATTTCAATATGTTATTATTAATTCTTTAAGTGCAGCAGACAACAGTAAGTAATAATATATAGATGGGTAGGTAAGTATTGTACATCAGGTAGACAAAACAATTTTATTTTATTAAATACGTATTATAAGTAATATAATTTTTTATGTTCCTAAAAATTTTAAATTACTAAAAAAATTAAGTTTTTATACGGCTAGACAAGTAATCAAATAACAGCAGACTGTTTTCAATAAAAAGGTTTAACTGTTACTTGGTAAGTATTTAATTTAAATTTCTGATGTCATATCAGAAAATATTTTTACAGTTATTACTATAAAATGGATTTACATATTTTCTCCATTAAGTGTGTCAAAGAATATCTGAATAAATAATAAGGTAAGTCGGTAAGTAATTTGGATTTACCTTTTTCCTTTTCTGATAACTATGATAAAAGAGCATTAAGGAACATTTAATACACGAAAATTCCAAAAAACTTAAAGTTTAGTAAAATACAGATTTAGTGTCAAAAAAAAACAATTAAAATAACATCACTTTCAAAATCATTAATCCAGGCATGTGCATAAAACGGTTCAAATTAAGGTCAAAAACATTTTATGTAATTCCTAAAAAGTTGGTTAGGTTACCTATATCTTAGTGGCTTAGCACGGCAGTTTACTAATAATCTTGAGTAGTATAAAAATGTTTAGAACCTACTGAATTTTAAGTGTTTGTGTATAGCGAGTATCAACCACATTTTATCACACAACCCGAAAATGTATTATTATAAATTAATTAGTTTATTTATCGATAAATTTGAATTATATTACCTGCACACAGCACTTATATGTTAGATAATTTATACTTAAAAGTAAAAAAATATGTGATTATATTATTTTTTTAGCTAGTATTTCAATGCTTCTAACACCTGTTGGTTTAATCATTACTGGAATATTAGCGGATAGGATTGGAAGAAAAAAAGCGCTTCAAATATCTTTCATACCGATGATTTTAAGTTGGTTAACACTTACGTTTGCTAACTCCTACACAACGATTATGATTGGAAAAATCTTACTAGGATATCCTTTTGGTAAGTTCTAGTTTAATTTAAGCATAGGTGCTATATATGATTACAGCGAGATCGAAAAAATATTTTTAAGTACCCAACCATTAGTAGCAGAGTAATATAACAAGTTCTGCATATTGCTATACATTGACAGTTAATTTAGTATTCTGCTTTTGGTTCATTGGTTCATAATCATATAAAATACGAATAGGTACAACTAGAAATCTTAGTAGGTAGGTATCCAACTAGTTTTTATCTACCCGCATGTAAAAATGTAGTCGATCCCAATTATTTCGTTCACCCTCAGTATCTGTACGGGGCATTTGCTACATTGAAAAGCAGTAATCCTACAAAAAACAGTTTTTAAAAATATCTGAGTAAATGGCAAAAAAGTAAATAAAAATTGTTTGTGAAACTGATTTCTTGAAGTAGTTTAAATTGCTATTTTAAATTCATGTCTCCTTAAACAATTAAAAATATATAAATATTAAAGTTGAGTAAATATCGACCAAGTTGAAGGCATTAGAGCAGGTAAGTTTTTCAAATGTATGGGAAATAAAGTTATTAACAAGAATCATCAGACATTACAACAAATCGTAACTTGTCTTAAGCAATTTCTTTTTAATGTGAATTTTTATGACAATTCATAAAAATAGAACTTTCTATTAGTAGAAATATTGAGTGCAATTTAAAATAAGTCTTCTTCTTTCTCTAGTATGATTATTCTCTAAGAGTTTTTGCCACCTATCTCTTTCATGGACTACCTTTCTCCAATCCTCAACTCACAGAGTTTTTAGATCTTCTTCCACCACGTCAACCCATCTTTTTCTAAGTCTTCTTCTGGGTGTTTTTCCTTGTGGTCTCCACTCCAATACTACTCTAACTGCTTCATTATCTCCTCTTCTCTTTAAGTGACTTACCCGTTGTATCCTTTGACAATTAATAAAGCTTGTTACTGGTACTAGTTCCAACAAATCGTACAGCTCTTTTTTATATCTCCTGTGTTCCCCTCCGTTTAATCGATGATAGGTAAACATATTTTCCTCAATACCCTACTCTCGAAAGTCCTCAAGTTTCTATCTGTTTGTTTGGTCGTCGTTCAAGCTTCGCAATCATACGTGAGAGTCGGTCTCATAATAGTCACATCTTACTTTCGTTTTCCTAAATAGCATTATGGAGGTAAAGAATTTTGAATAGAACTTTTTTTGGACTTCATTTATCCGAATACTTATTTCCCTTAACCAGTTATTCTTTGTGCTTAACGTTGCGCCCAAATATTTAAAATCGCTAAGACAAGATTGAAAAGTGCAGGGGACAGAGCGTCACCCTGCTTCAGCCCGGTTTCCACTGTAAAAGTTCCTGATGTTACATTTCATGTCCTCGCTTTGTATTTATTCGTACATAATATTTGAATGACTGTCTCTGTGGGCTATCATAGACCTTTTTAAAATCTATGAATTTAATTTGCCACATATTCTGCCTAAATTCATACCTCTTTTCAATTATTTGACCTAATATGGATAGTCGTTTTGTGGTTGAACGGCCCATTCGAAAGCCGCATTGGCAATCACTTAGGCACTCCTCCACATAAAGGGCAATGCGATTTAGTAATGTCCTAGAGAAAACTTTGTACGCAGAGTTCAAAAGCGATAAATGAATTATATCCCTCTATAATTTTCACATTTTGTTTTGTCCCCTTTTTTGTGTAGTGGTATGATAGTTGCCTCATTCCAACTATCCAGTACTCGTTCTTCAATCCATATTAGCTGAAAAAATCTTTAGATCACTACGTGGCTAACTAAAGGCGCTTTCCAATTTTTAAGCCAAATATTGCAATTTTCATTTCTTTTAAACTAACATCCTCTATGTGGATTCATATTCGGTACGTACGACTAGCTTAACTGGCATCGTACCTTTTAGTAATTTTTTAATGTATCCTTTCCATCTGTCAACTCTTGACAATAGCTCCATTAATATTTGTCCGTCTTGGTCTTTGATTACATTCCATATTGAGTTGAATTGCTTAAACTGTTAAATGACTAAACATCTTTCTACTTCCCCTAAGTATATTTTCATTCATTGCAGTCTGTAGTTTATTGCTAAACGATTCATTTTTATTTCGTTTGACTTTTTAACTTGATTTGAGTAGTGGTCCGTGTCACAATCGGTAACTCAATGGCTTCTTACATCGTAAATCGTACTGCGGTATCTAGTCTGTACAAGAACATGGTCAATTTAATTCAGGGTTTTTTCATTTGCCGATCTTGGCTTTGTGACTATCTTTGTGTGGAAATTTAGTACTTCTAACAGTTAACCCATTTGTGTTGCAAATTATATCATTCGCTTGTCATTGTCATTTCTGTGACTGCACACTTTCCTTCCATATACACGGAAATTACAGTGATTCCAGTCCACATTTTGCATTAAAGTCACCTAATACAATCTTTATCAAGTTTCCAGTGATACTCTTGTATGTTTTGGTCAGTTCAAAATAGAAGACATCTTTCACATTGTTTTCTTTACTTCTGTTGGTGCGTATCCAATTATTATACAAATATTAATTGGCTAGGGTTGATGGTTTATATTTATATCCATTCAGGTATAGGATTAAAATTATTAATGTACGATACTAATGCCCTATGAACTGCAAAACCGCTACCAAAATGATGTATATTCTCCAATCCAGAGAAAAATATTGTGTATTCTCCAATCGTTAGCTGCCCCACACTCAGCCATCTTATTTATTGTATGGCTGCTACTTTAATGTAGTACGTGTGAGGACATCAGCTAAGTTTTGGCTTGCACCTATTTTATATAAGCTCGTCACATTTCATGTCACAATCTTAAAATCAGCTTTCCACTTTCAAAAACCAGTCTTAAATCCATGTAATCTTGTCCAAGGCGTAGGTGCAGTTGATTTCATAACAAAGTTCTTTTTACTGGGCAGAGTAGTTAGTCCTAAGCTTAACCTCCAATCCGGAGGACCAGACTGAAAATTTTCTACATTTTAGTAGGAGCTTAATAAAATATTATTTTTACCAATATAACAACTGATGATTTTCGTTAATATCTAAATGCTTACCTGATCTAACTTAATCAATTTTTTTTCATTTTTGAAAATTAGGACTAAAAGAATAGGTATTTAAAAAAATGGAAGTTTAGTAAATTTAATAGATTTCAGTTGAAAAACAACATACCAGTTTTTCATAAACAATAAAAGTCCAATGTAATATTTTCAACACTTTCGAAACGCAAAGGTTCCTAGTAAAAAATTATAATACTAATACTAATTTATAAAATTTATAACACTCATGTAGATAGTACAGTCACCTAGTACATAGTATTATTCACAAATTCCAGAAGACTTGACAATAATAATTATATACATATGTCTAAGTACATGTGGATGTCTTACATATATTAAGAATTAATTAATATTGAAGGTGCCTGTTCCCTGTAGAAGAACAGCACGGATGAGTCATGACGCTATGACCGATAGCTGATGTTAGACGCTGAAGGGAAAACGAATCTTAGGCTGGGCACATACCAAACCTCCTAACCTACATCACACACCACTTTTTTTTGCTTGGGTGTGCGTCTTGCCCAAGGATTTGGTCCCAAACTTAATCAAATTCAAATCAAATTTCAAAATTTGTTTTATTTTTAAAGCATTTTTGAAAGTTTCAATATGATTAAAGCTCTGGTTGGGTTTCGAATTCATAAACATATAACTGTATGTTTGACAAACCCTTAATAAGATTATTACCACCTACCTATACCTACCATATTATAATATACGCCACAATAAAATAATAATGTTCACATGATGTCGTGACAGGCGCGAGCAGTTGCATGTGCTTGTACTTCGCCGAAGTGTTTCCGGCGCACTTGCGGGCGCTGCACGCCGCCGGTCCCACGCTGTTCGTGGGCGTAGGCATGATGCTGGAGTGTGTCCTGTCCATGTACTTCCGGTGGCAGACAATAGCAGGCGTGCTGAGCGGATTGAGCGTCTGCGGCTTCGTCGTGTTGTTCTGGGTGCCGGAACCATCCAAGTGGCTCCGGTCCAAAGGACGGGACGCCGAAGCTGACAAAGTGGACGAGTGGTTTGATCTTGAACGCGTTGACCCGGGGTGCGCCAAGTCGGGGGGCGTAAATCCCTCCATCGAGGGTGGAAATCTCTCCAGCCACGCGTCTTGTTGGTCGTTGTACGCTCAGCCGACCGTCTGGAAGCCCACGCTCATCACGCTGACGTTCTTCGTCTGCCAGCACTGCAGCGGCGTGTACGTGCTGATGTTCTACACGGCTGACGTGCTCCGGGATTTCCGATTGCCATGGGACAGCGTCACCATAGCCGTGTTCATTGCTGCCGCACGCGTGCTAGGCGGCCTCAGCTTCGGCATGCTGCACCATATCAAGCGCCGCACGCTGCTTGTAGTCTCCGGCGCCTTGATGGCAGCGTCACTAGCGTTCATCATCGCGTACATCACAGCGTTCCGAAACGTCGAACACCCGCCGTACGCCGGCACACTTGTCATCGCGTTCGTCGCTTTCATGTTCTTCGGTCTACTGGGCATCGTTCCACTGCCTTGGATACTCAGCGGCGAGGTGTTCCCAATAGCAATTTCGGGTAAGCGTCGTATTATGTGATGTATTGATGCCGAGATACACTAAACATTTAATGAATCAATAGTGAGCTAATGGTCCTATTAATACGAGTGAGTGGCCAATAATTGGTTCATTAAATTTTAGTGAACCATTAAGTTATTTAATCAATTGTTTATGCAACATGGCGTAACATTATTATAATCCCCGCGTGTCGTGAATGCTCGGGTTTCAAAAAATCATGGGTTTGGGTGCGATCTATATGCAATCGTGAAGTGTGAATCCACAAGTGCAGAATCTCAGGATTTTGCACCTCTGCCAAAAAATCTTGAAGAACTGAGCAAAAATATCGAGAGGCAACAGTTTTGTTACATTTTACAAGTTACTATGTTAGTCGTGGTTGGAGACGACGGGTTTTCGTTATCGTTACGGATTCTTAACCGTCAGTGGCGGGAGGGAGGACTTTTGAGTAGTAAATTTAAATTTAATACTATAATATATATACTACTTCAATGTTGAAGGTCACTTTATTAAATAATTATACATCGTTTTGAAACCCGGACATTCTATGCTAGTAAACTCGCCTAGTGCTATCGACTCTCTAGTGTATCATGATACGGATCTATTAATTTTAAGTGAAGCATTAAACTAATCGATTTTTTATACGATTCAAGTATTGACATTACAGTATAGAATACATGCATTCTACACCTACAAGTTAGGTAAATAACTATTAGTTTAATGTTCTGAAGATGAGTGTTTATTGTTGAGTATGTATAATATATATAACTGATGGTATTTATCTGCATTGTCTATAATATTATTATTTATTCAAGAATAAGTATAATGAAAATAAATTTAGAAATAAATTAATCCACAAATCAACAAAACTAAATATCGTCTTAGTGAATTGCTATAATTTATAATTGATAATCATTGTTACTTTGTGATAGTTTATTTTGATTTTATAAAATACAGCTAATACAATTTACGAATACATGCAAATTATCACGTAAAATAAAAGCATAGGTAGTTTGTTAGAAACACAATAAATACTAATACAATTATATATATATAATTATATGTATAATATAGTATAATTGGTGTATAATAATAGCGGGAAATTGGAATACAAATAAGTTAGCCCTTCCCCTCATTTCATCATATCCTGCATATATTTATTATCATTGTTTAGTATTTATACGTTCGAAGGATTTATCCCGTAGAAGATAATTGAGCATTCAAGCCTATAACTACTGAATTTTCTTTTTTCTTTTATTTAATTTTTTCTTTTATTACGTGCTTGTGCAGGTGCCATGAACGGATATGTACAGACGTTTGGATACATCTTATGGTTTTTGGTTGTCAAAATGTATCCATCGTTGGTGTTACAATTTGGAATAATATGTGTTTGGTCGATATTCACCATATTCTGCGGTTTGAACATTTTATTCGCCATATTTGTAATGCCAGAGACAAAAGGAAAATCTTTAGACGAAATCTTATCGTATTTTGAACCGGAAAAGAAAACAAAAAAGCTCAACTACGTGCCGTAATAATATTTTATTGTTCGGTCATTAATATTATTATAATAATGTCTATACACTAAAAAACAGAAAATAAGTTTTAAGTTTTAATATTTTTTTTACAATTTTATTTGTACTTATATTTTTTAAATGTATAATAATAATATGTATAATACTATATTATTTATATAAATATAGATAATTGTCAAATCCACTTAATGAATTCGTTCTTTGTACCTATCCATATAATATATGGTATTATCATACTCTATAAACAAGAAGTTAACTGCAGAAGTTATGAATGTGCGTGTACCCATATCGAATTTAAGTGTGAAGAAAGTATTTCCACATAATATATTATTATTACTTACGATGATGAAACAGATAAAATAAAATATTTATTTTGAAAAGTTGTAATTATTATAGTACAGGTGTTTAAAAATCACATTCGATAAATAATTATAATGATACATTTTTTTTTTAAATACTTACTTCGTTACCTACCTATTATCGTCTATTACCTATACATTTCTCACTTTGTTTACAATTTATAAAACCAACTTTTTTTTACTACCTATGACACTTTTTGAAATTTAATGTTGTACAATAAATAATAATATACATAGTGGGAAAAAGTTTCAAGTACCTGAAAATAATATTATTTGAATAAAAAATATAAAAACTAAAATCATTATTTATCGTTTAAATACACAATTAATTGTCAACGCCAGTCACCTTTTGAACTTGAAATGTCTACAAACAAACATTGTGTTCATTTATCTTAGATAATTTTTATGCGTAAGTAAGAACAACTTATTAGAAAGCCACTTATTATTATAAACATTAAAATAAGTGATAATAACACTCTGCTGTACAGGTGTCTAGAGAGTCAACGAAGTGGATGAGTTGAATTTTATTTTAATTCGATAATATAAAATCAAACAATTCTGAGCGAAGGCAGTCAGCCTAAATTATTATTAAGCATATTTTATGCTATTATTGTGATTAAATCAATTTATTTTACCATTATAGGCATTAGTACAACAATAGCTTAAATTTATTTTTGCTAAAAAAATCACATTTGAAAATATCATTCTGTGTGTAAAATATAAAAATATACTCTAAAAGTTCCTCCATGTATCTCCACGAATAATATTTTTAAATTGCAACAAACTAACTAAAGACGTTATTCTTGGTTTTGCTATATATTTTCGTTCATATTAGAATTTGAAACGGATTTGATTTGTTGGTTACAGTATGAACTATTTAAGAAAATCCTTGTTTTAAATTTTCAATCTTTAGGTAGGTATAAAAATTTAACATTTTATGATATTTTAACTACAAAACAATTTGAACATTTTCGATATTTTGATAAACCTTGTAAACTTTAAATATTTACTTATAAAAAAATATCATGCCTATGGATCTTTTTGACAATTTAAGGATGAATATCTAATGTCTAATTTCAACACTCGCAAAAAATGTATTTGAGTTTCTGATAAACTTTTTTTTTTAAAGATTTAAGATATAAATAAAAACATTTTTATGAATTTCTAACTCGAAATAATTTACCTTGTGATTTTGATGAATTTTGTCAACATTTTAACTTTAGACGTTCACAAAAAATTATTGTGGATTTACACCCAACATTTTTTTTAAATTTTTACGAACAACAACTTATGAGAAACGTTGTATTACATTTTCAAGTTTTTGACTGAGTAAAACATGATTAACAACAATTAACAATAATTTTAAAAAACTTATAAAACACGACATTTTTTTATGAATTTAAATAGCTCTCGTGGTACTAGCAATTGCTTATATAAACATTCAGTAAAAATTTCATCTATCTACTGTTATTGTATATAAAGTTACACAAAAAAAAACAAAATCGATTATTCGATTTTAAGTCGAAATTGGTTTTGCGTAAAAATCTTAGTTTTTTGTCAATTTTTTTTTTTGTTTTTCCTGACGGTTTAAAATTGTATGCATAATAACTACGAAATCATTTTCAAATTGTCGTGATTTTAACAAATTATGTTTAAATTTGATCTTGAAAAGCTTTTATAAAAAAAGTGTGCTTTAGTTTTTTGGAAATGTTTAAACTGCTGCGAGTAATACGAATAATGTAGGATCTTGTATTACACGTTCAAGCTTTTATACTCAAACAAACAGAATTGTATTCAGACATAAATCGAAAAAACTAAAAAGAGTCTATAATTTCAAAAACCTAAATATATTTATGTAAACAGTTTTTTGTAAAAATATTCATTCGAACATTCAAACTGATCATCAGTTACTGATGTCAGTAGGTAATTAAATTATATTTTCGTTCGAAATCCGATACGCGTAGAAGGTAATAGCTATAGCTTTTGTCAACGTTGTATGAAAAAGATTTATTCGTAAGGCTTTTACGTATAAGGAACGGCGTGTGGGCTTATTTTATTACTTTGATTTTGTAGATCTCTAAAGCCCTGTAACGACTACCCTTTTAGGTATGCCATAGCTAAGGAAAGAAACGCAATAGTAATCGGCACGTGAAGCGGACTCAGACACCTAAGTTGAGACCACATAGCTGCAGACAAATATTTCCACCTACAAAATACTTAATATACCTATATTATAGTAGGTCGGTTGGTGTGACACGTTTTAGCCTACAATGCAGACTCGATCGGTCCTCGCAAGTAAAATTAACATAACAATTCGGATGCCACTGTAGTTCTCGTCCCGTTTTATTTCTCTGCTGGTACTGGACACCATGCCATAGTTTAAAAAACGTAAGTTTCAACTAGCCGAAACAAAAATATTTTTTTGTTAGTAAGTGTGTTTTATTAACATTCTACAGCGCGGAGAATTACTAGCGAAATCCATCGTGTGTACTCACATAGATATAGTTCTATTCCTAGGAGGAATAATTCTGATTAACCGAATTGAATTAAGTGTAGCGTGAGTGCGGCAAACTAACAACGTTGTAATATCGTTGCCCGACCTACAATTTAAATCATGATAGAATATACAGAAAGGTCGACTTAAATCAGTTAAATCTGTACGGTGGTTATCTATACAATAACTATAAAGCCTAACCTAACTCGACCCGACCAAATTAGCATTGCCTATGTGCAGGTTGAACAAATATTATAACACGATTATGTTAATAGGTATAGATTTACCATTTCAAATACATTTGGAAACTAGGTAGGTATACGTCTTATAAGTCACAAGTATTTTATTATAAATATATATTTTTCATTACCTACGGCTGTTGTCCTTCAACTGTTTTATTTTAAAAATAATGAAATATTCTTGAGGATTTTTATTTATTTTCTCCAAGTTTTAGATTTTAAACTCCAGAAAAAATACCGCAGATACCTACATGAAATGTTCACTGAATGTTTATATCCGCATTTTCTATAGACCATACAATCTTCAAAATAGTTTGACTCGCGTTAAACTATTTATAGACACATCGAATTTTCGATCATTATTAACTTTTTTTAAATTAATTTCTATAAAAAGTTTTTCACTCCGTCAAAAAACTGATCTATTACAGTGACCCACTTGTAACCTCCTGTACAGTAGGTAGAGCAACATCCTACACTTGTCCGCTTTTTATGATTACAAATCATATTGGCCAATTATTTCTAGTTAGAAATTCATAAACAATTTTCTTTTAAGATTTGAAAACTTAACACACAATTCCCCTTAAGTTTCCTACATTTAACAAGAAAAAAAAATCTTACACGAAAGTCAAATTCATTAATTAAGCGCCTTTAAATAAGGTCACACATTGGATAATCAACCGTAAATTAACAAATTATCATATACGATAATAATACGATTTTCTTTTTTTGTTCTCATTCATAAAATAATATCCGTAAGTACTTGAATTTTTCATCATATATTTATTTAATCATTTAATTTTCACGACAAAAGTTTTCAAAGTATTTTGGTTCGTATTCAGTTTTTTATAGGCATTTGAAATTTGACTATTTTTTTATTACATAAATGTCAATAATATTTTATTTTTTTGGTTCATAAAGTTCGACAGTTTAACACAAGGTGCATAGGTATTAGGTACCCATCATAATAGTTCCGAAATCTTAAATATCCATAAGCACAATTTTTTCGAAATTCATCATAATCTTAACAGTTTGTCAAATTTTTCTTTGTACATCTAAGATTTGAAGATGTGATCCAAGATTTCTCAAAAGTTTGTATACCTTTATAAAAGAAAATAATGTCTACCTGGTTTACTCAAATTAAATTTTTATGAGCGTTTGAAATTCAAATTTTTACAATATGTTGGATACCTAGTTATAAGTCATAGGTAGTAGGTAATAGGTATACACTCAATTGCTTATAATGGAACGGTTTTCATTAGTTGTAATTCAAAAACAAGTTACCGTAAATTCTTGAAATTTGCAGTTTATGTTTATTTTATCATTTTATATGCTTGATAAAATTTTCGAAACATGTAAACTCATATTGTGTTATTTATAGACATTTGAAATATGAAATCAAAAAATCAACCTGTGCTTACGGTAAATTCTAATATACATTTTACTGTCAAAAGTTGATTTCATTATTAAAGTATATAATATTTATTATTGTATTATTGATATTGTCCATAATTGCTACTAGTATGTGTTTTACTTTTATTAGTACCCGTGTAAGTCAATTATTGTAATATTGCAATATTTTCAATTAGTGCATAATATAATATTATATTTAAAGTAGGTCGTGATTGTATACTAAAAATCTGATAGCAACTAGCCAACTAGGTATCTAATATTTGTCTATGCGAACCTCACTAATAAATTATATTACAATCATTTTTGTAGGAACAATGAAACCGAAGTAAAACCAGAGTATTGGAGGTTTGGAGACATAAGTACACGATCACAGAATGTTGAGATTACGATAGGTAATTACGATTTAACTTAAACTTGTCAACCCGTTATTTTCGTTTGGATAATGACCTACTTACCTCGTTTAATATAATTATAAGCTTAATTTTATAATTCGTTACCCACAGAATACGTTACCTACCTTTCTAGTATTCAAACTTGCCTGTATAATAATTA